CCAACATTAGAGAACAAGTCCAGCATTAGAGATCAAGTCCAGCAATAGAGAACAAGTCCAACATTAGAGAATAAGTCCCACTTGTATGAAGAAGTCCAACATTAGAGAACAACTTCAACATTAGAGAACAACTTCAACATTAGAGAACAAGTCCAATACTACAGAACAAGTCCAACATTAGAGAACAAGTCCCACTTGTATGAACAAGTCCAGCATTAGAGATCAAGTCCAACATTAGAGAACAAGTCCAATATTACAGAACAAGTCCAACATTAGAGAACAAGCCCCACTTGTATGAACAAGTCCAACATTAGAGAACAAGTCCAACATTACAGAACAAGTCCAACATTACAGAACAAGTCCAACATTACAGAACAAGTCCAACATTACAGAACAAGTCCAACATTACAGAACAAGTCCAACATTACAGAACAAGTCCAACATTACAGAACAAGTCCAACATTACAGAACAAGTTCAACATTACAGAACAAGTCCAACATTACAGAACAAGTCCAACAATACAGAACAAGTCCCACTTGTATGAATATCTCATCCACTCTAGCCTCAATAATTACTTCCGCTTTTCAATCTAAATCCGAAAACTAATTAATATATCAAATCTTGTTTTTAATAGTAATTATATATAAAGAATTCGTTAACATGTAAAAAATATCTCTTTAATAGATCAATTATGCAATGTAAATGTTGAGATGTAATCTGTCGTCAACAAGGGGATTGCATGGTTAACTAACCTTGCAGTGTTGGCAGGTGTGTGGTAAACAGTGCACAGTTGACAAGTGTTGCAAGGTTGCAATGGTCCCTTGTTGTGGAGACCAATGTTCCGTGGTGCAATGTTGATATTCTGTTGTGTAGGGAGGGGCTGTCTCAGTAGTGTCTATGGTATTGTTTGATTAAGAAAGGGGAACCTTGCGTTATTTGCTTAAAAAAGGGGAAGTCTCTCACCAATTGCTTAAAAAAAAGGAAGTCTCTTGCCATTTGCTTAAGAAAGAGGAAGCCTCTATCACCATTTGCTTAAGAAAGGGGAAGCCTCTGTCACCGTTTGCTTAAGAAAGGGGAAGCCTCTGTCACCATTTGCTTAAGAGGAAGCCTCTATCATTATTTGTTTAAGAAAGAGGAAGTCTCTATCACTATTTTCTTAAGAAAGAGGAAGCCTCTTGCATTATTTGCTAAAAAAAAGGGGAAGTCTTGAATTATTTGCTTAAGAAAGAGGAAGTCTCTCACCATTTGCTTAAGAAAGGGGAAGCCTCTTGCATTATTTGCTTAAGAAAGAGGAAGCCTCTTGCATTTTTTGCTTAAGAAAGAGGAAGACTCTTGCATTATTTGCTTAAAAAAGAGGAAGTCTCTCATCAATTGCTTAAGAAAAAGGAAGCCTTTGTCACTATTTGCTTAAGAAAGAGGAAGCCTGTTACTATTTGCCAAGAAAGACAAATCCTTGAACACTATTTGTAAACAAAAGTGGGAAGAAAGAGACACTGTTTACCCCAAAAAATTAAAGACCCCCGTAAACTATTTACCAAAGAAAATGGAAACCTTGAGCGCTGCTGTGCGTCATAGAAAGCGATGGGTCTCGGAGGGGGGACTATTTGTTAAAGATAATGGGGGCGTCTTTGGCCGCTATTTGCCAGAGAAAATGGAGAAGGGTGTTTGTGAGTGAAGGAAGAATAAGCCCGTGAGGTGAGTGGAGAACTCGAGGGAAGATGGTGGGTAGTTGGTGGTAGTTTAATAGTGTGGTAGGATGGCATGAGCGCCTTGTGTTATACCTGCCGTCTGCTGATTGACACCCGTTCATCATATGCATAATAGTGGCAATCCGGAGCGACATCTATCTGGTGTTAAAGGCTCTGATGTGTTGACTTCTCTGATGAGAAGCCAAGTTAACGCGGCAACTATCGTTGTAGAAGCCACAGTGGGAGGTGGCAACCCACATGAGAGGATGCGTGATTGGTTACAAAAAACCCTCCTACATCAGTCACGTTACGTGATTGGTTACAAAAGACCCTCCTACATCAGTCGCATTACGTAATTGGCTACAAAAGACCCTCCTACATCAGTCGCATTACGTAATTGGCTACAAAAGACCCTCCTACATCAGTCGCGTTACGCGATTGGCTACAAAAGACTCTCCTACATAAGTTGCGTTACGCGATTGGGTACAAAAGACCCTCCTACATCACTCGCGTTACGCGATTGGTTACAAAAGACCCTCCTACATCAGTCGCGTTACGTGATTGGTTACAAAAGACCCTCCTACATCACTCGCGTTACGCGATTGGTTACAAAAGACCCTCCTACATCAGTCGCGTTACGTGATTGGCTACAAAAGACTCTCCTACATAAGTTGCGTTACGCGATTGGGTACAAAAGACCCTCCTATATCAGTCGCATTACGCGATTGGTCCAAAAAACCACTGGAGCTGCTCCAATCACAAGGCGCGTTACAAGTGTGTGGCAACAGCACACTTCGACACTTCCTAAACTGGAAAATAATCAAGTCTCTTTATTCCAACACGTTTTTGGATGAGATTAAAAGTCTTTTGTGTACTTTTAATTTTACTCAAGTTTCGACGCGCAAATAGAAATGATGGGGGGGATATACACAGGGAGTGGGGGATATACACAGGGAGTGGGGGATATACACAGGGAGTGGGGGATATACACAGGGAGTGGGGGATATACACGGAGTGGGGGATATACACAGGGAGTGGAGGAAGTACACAGGGAGTGGGGGGTGTTGAAGAAATCAGTCTCTCTGAAGAAATTTAGCAGTCTCCGTGGTGTAGTGGTAAGACACTCGCCTGGCGTTCCGCGAGCGCTATGTCATGGGTTCGTATCCTGGCCGGGGAGGATTTACTGGGCGCAAATCCTTAACTGTAGCCTCTGTTTAACGCAACAGTAAAATGTGTACTTGGATGAAAAAACGATTCTTCGCGGCGGGGATCGTATTCCAGGGACCTGCCCGAAACGCTACGCGTACTAGTGGCTGTACAAGAATGTAACAACTCTTGTATATATCTCAAAAAAAAAAAATGGAATTTGACAAAAAATATGAACTCTATAAGTGTCTTGTTTGTCTTGGCTGATGGCAGAGTCCCCCCCTACACACACACCCCCCTTCTCTCTCTCTCTCTCTCTCTCTCTCTCTCTCTCTCTCTCTCTCTCTCTCTCTCTCTCTCTCTCTCTCTCTCTCTCTCTCTCTCTCTCTCTCTCTCTCTCTCTCTCTCTCTCTCTCTCTCGCTCGCTCTCTCTCGCTCTCTCTCGCTCTCTCTCGCTCTCTCTCTCTCTCTCTCTCTCTCTCTCTCCCTCCCCCTCCCTCCCTTCCTCCCTCCCTCCCTCCCCCCCCCCTACAGACATCTTCAAAAGCCAACGTAAACATTGGCTCAGAGACACGTGACATTGTTTACAATGATCTGATAAACACCCCCCCCCCCTTGGCCCAAAGTTCCCCTCCCTCCCCCCTTTTAGTCCTCCCCCGACACACACACACACACACACACACACACACACACACACACACACACACACACACACACACACACACACACACACACACACACACACACACACAGATCTCCCGGAGGGTATCGATTCATTTCTCTCAATGTTTGCGGACGATGCTAAAATTATGAGAAGGATTAAAACAGAAGAGGACTGTTTGAGGCTTCAAGAAGACCTAGACAAGCTGAAGGAATGGTCGAACAAATGGTTGTTAGAGTTTAACCCAACCAAATGTAATGTAATGAAGATAGGTGTAGGGAGCAGGAGGCCAGATACAAGGTATCATCTGGGAGAGGAAATTCTTCAGGAGTCAGAGAAGGAAAAAGACTTGGGGGTTGATATCACGCCAGACCTGTCTCCTGCAGCACATATCAAGCGGATAACATCAGCGGCATATGCCAGGCTGGCCAACATACGAACGGCATTCAGAAACTTGTGTAAAGAATCATTCAGAACTTTGTATACCACATATGTCAGGCCAATCCTGGAGTATGCAGCCCCAGCATGGAGTCCATATCTAGTCAAGGATAAGACTAAACTGGAAAAGGTTCAAAGGTTTGCCACCAGACTAGTACCCGAGCTGAGAGGTATGAGCTACGAGGAGAGACTACGGGAATTAAACCTCACTTCGCTGGAAGACAGAAGAGTTAGGGGGGACATGATCACCACATTCAAGATTCTGAAGGGGATTGATAGGGTAGATAAAGACAGTCTATTTAACACAAGGGGAACACGCACAAGGGGACACAGGTGGAAACTGAGTGCCCAAATGAGCCACAGAGATATTAGAAAGAAGTTTTTTAGTGTCAGAGTGGTTGACAAATGGAATGCATTAGGAAGTGATGTGGTGGAGGCTGACTCCATACACAGTTTCAAGTGTAGATATGACAGAGCCCGATAGGCTCAGGAATCTGTACACCTGTTGATTGACGGTTGAGAGGCGGGACCAAAGAGCCAGAGCTCAACCCCCGCAAACACAACTAGGTGAGTACACACACACACACACACACACACACACACACACACACACACACACACACACACACACACACACACACACACACACACAGGAAGCAGCCCGTAACAGCTGTCTAACTCCCAGGTACCTATTTACTGCTAGGCATCAGGGGGGCATCAGGATGTAAGAAACTCTGACCATTTGTTTCTGCCATCGCCGGGGATCGATTCCCGGACCTCGGGATTACGAGTCCCGATTGCTGTCCACTCAGCCACCAGGCACCCAGATTCCACCCACCCACCCACATGTGTGTATGTGTGTGTTAGATATAAATATATGTAGTAGACATAATAGAGGAAAAATAGATTATTTAGAAAGGCGGGGTCCAAGAGCTAATAGCTCGATACTGCAGATAGTAAACACTCACAAACTCTCACTCACTCACTCACTCTCACTCTCACGCACTCACACTGACTCTCTCACTCTCACACTCACGCACTCACTCACTCTCTCACTCTCCCTCAGAGCTGTTCCGAAGTGCAGGAGGTGCGGGTCGTGGTGACGTCATCAAGCTGTACAACTGGGAGGACAAGCTTGTGAACGTCGGAGCAGACCTCTGCCCCAACACTCCGTGTACCCCGTACCGTCTACACGTGGTCGCTACTCCATGCAACGGTACGTACCCTCGCCCCAACACCCCGTGTCCCACGTACCGTCTACACGTGGTCGCTACACCATGCAACGGTACGTACCCTCGCCCCAACACCCCATGTACCAATCATAAGATTGGGTGGTTATAAATAGGAGCTGCCTCGTATGTGCCAATAGGCCTTCTACAGTTAACTTTATTCCTATGTCTGGAGTGGGGATTTCTGCGCCATCTATGGACCTGCACTCCAACTCCCCGGTATTGGGTGCGATGCAGACAACGCCATCTGTTGGTGGTGGCGTGGTATTAGTGACCGGTTCCAGTTTCCTGCCTCAGTTAGAAGAGGTCCATGATGACGACTTCTGGGGCCAGATTCACGAAAGCACTTATGCAAGCACTTACGAACCTTTACATCTTTTCTCAATCTTTGGCGGCTTTGTTTACAATTATTAAAGAGTTAATGAGATCCGAAGCACCAGGAGGCTGTTTATAACAATAACAACAGTTGATTGGCAAGTTTTCATGCTTGTAAACTGTTTAATAAATGTAACCAAAGCCGTCAAAGATTGAGGAAAGATGTACACGTTCGTAAGTGTTTGCGTAAGTTCTTTCGTGAATCTGGCCCCTGGTGGGTGGCGTATCGCGATCAACGCCATCTAGGTTGTGGCTACAAGTTACAATGTCAATTCCCCGGTGTATGGGTGTTATACTAGGGGTCACCCAGTATACTGTCTGTCTAGCTAATGACGTTTCATGTTCACAGACGTGATATAAGGAGGCGATTGAGTTAATGAGGGCAGTTCACCTTGTACAGTTCAATAACTTTTGACTTGGTCCTGTGAGAGGACAAAGTGGCCGCCGTCGGTTATAGCAGTGTGTTAACTGCTGGTTTATGCAGTATTGGATGGACCGACGTACCTGTGATTGGCCAGGAAGAATTATGCGACGACTGTCGTGCTTCCGTTGAGAAGTGCTGCTAGTGAGCTGCTAGAGACTTCTGCCAGGGTGTTAGCTACCCCTTTGAGTGTTTGAGACCCCTGTCAGCGTGTACCTGGAGACCCTCTGTCAGCGTGTACCTGGAGACCCTCTGTCAGCGTGTACCTGGAGACCCTCTGTCATCGTGTACCTGGAGACCCTCTGTCAGCGTGTACCTGGAGACCCTCTGTCAGCGTGTACCTGGAGACCCTCTGTCAGCGTGTACCTGGAGACCCTCTGTCAGCGTGTACCTGGAGACCCTCTGTCAGCGTGTACCTGGAGACCCTCTGTCAGCGTGTACCTGGAGACCCTCTGTCAGCGTGTACCTGGAGACCCTCTGTCAGCGTGTACCTGGAGAGAGGAGGTGGGGTATTGGCACGTCGTGTATGGAGATACGGTGTGTGTGGACTGGCCCACGTGGAAGGTGAACTCGCCGGTGTTTCCCATTAGGTAATTCACCGGGATTGCTGAACACTGGCCATGTATTATGTCCTGAGTGAAAGAGAGACTATTGTAAATACGTGTAGTAATGCTTATATATATATAATATATTATAATATATTATATTTTAATATATAACTGTTATTATAACTCACATGATGAGTGGCGCTACCCAATACTGTCACTATGGCGGTGTGTCCACTCACAGCATGAGTGACGCTGCCCAATACTGTCACTATGGCGGTGTGTCCACTCACAGGATGAGTGGCGCTACCCAATACTGTCACTATGGGGGTGTGTTCACTCACAGGATGAGTGGCGCTGCCCAATACTGTCACTATGGCGGTGTGTCCACTCACAGGATGAGTGGCGCTGCCCAATACTGTCACTATGGCGGTGTGTCCACTCACAGGATGAGTGGCGCTACCCAATACTGTCACTATGGCGGTGTGTCCACTCACAGGATGAGTGACGCTGCCCAATACTGTCACTATGGCGGTGTGTCCACTCACAGGATGAGTGGCGCTGCCCAATACTGTCACTATGGGGGTGTGTTCACTCACAGGATGAGTGGCGCTGCCCAATACTGTCACTATGGCGGTGTGTCCACTCACAGGATGAGTGGCGCTGCCCAATACTGTCACTATGGCGGTGTGTCCACTCACAGGATGAGTGGCGCTGCCCAATACTGTCACTATGGCGGTGTGTCCACTCACAGGATGAGTGGCGCTGCCCAATACTGTCACTATGGCGGTGTGTCCACTCACAGGATGAGTGGCGCTGCCCAATACTGTCACTATGGCAGTGTGTCCACTCACAGGATGAGTGGCGCTGCCCAATACTGTCACTATGGCGGTGTGTCCACTCACAGGATGAGTGACGCTGCCCAATACTGTCACTATGGCGGTGTGTCCACTCACAGGATGAGTGACGCTGCCCAATACTATCACTATGGTGGTGTGTCCACTCACAGGATGAGTGACGCTGCCCAATACTGTCACTATGGTGGTGTGTCCACTCACAGGATGAGTGACGCTGCCCAATACTGTCACTATGGCGGTGTGTCCACTCACAGCATGAGTGGCGCTGCCCAATACTGTCACTATGGCGGTGTGTCCACTCACAGGATGAGTGACGCTGCCCAATACTGTCACTATGGCGGTGTGTCCACTCACAGGATGAGTGACGCTGCCCAATACTGTCACTATGGCGGTGTGTCCACTCACAGGATGAGTGACGCTGCCCAATACTGTCACTATGGCGGTGTGTCCACTCACAGCATGAGTGGCGCTGCCCAATACTGTCACTATGGCGGTGTGTCCACTCACAGCATGAGTGGCGCTGCCCAATACTGTCACTATGGCGGTGTGTCCACTCACAGCATGAGTGGCGCTGCCCAATACTGTCACTATGGCGGTGTGTCCACTCACAGCATGAGTGACGCTGCCCAATACTGTCACTATGGCGGTGTCCACTCACAGGATGAGTGGCGCTGCCCAATACTGTCACTATGGCGGTGTGTCCACTCACAGGATGAGTGGCGCTGCCCAATACTGTCACTATGGCGGTGTGTCCACTCACAGGATGAGTGACGCTGCCCAATACTGTCACTATGGCGGTGTGTCCACTCACAGCATGAGTGACGCTGCCCAATACTGTCACTATGGCGGTGTGTTCACTCACAGCATGAGTGGCGCTGCCCAATACTGTCACTATGGCGGTGTGTCCATTCACAGGATGAGTGGCGCTGCCCAATACTGTCACTATGGCGGTGTGTCCACTCACAGGATGAGTGACGCTGCCCAATACTGTCACTATGGCGGTGTGTCCACTCACAGGATGAGTGACGCTGCCCAATACTGTCACTATGGCGGTGTGTTCACTCACAGCATGAGTGACGCTGCCCAATACTGTCACTATGGCGGTGTGTCCACTCACAGGATGAGTGACGCTGCCCAATACTGTCACTATGGCGGTGTGTCCACTCACAGGATGAGTGACGCTGCCCAATAAATGAGATCATTTGATGTATGTACACATAGTAAATAAGAATTATTAGTAAATAAGAATTATGGGAATCAATATAAGTCAATGAGAATCGTGGGAATCAGTGGGAAAAAATGGGAGCCAATGAGAATTAGTGGAAGCCATTGACAATCAGTGGGGAACCAGTGGAAGGGATTGGGATTCTGGGACAATCAGTGGGATTAGGCAGGTAGCTTAGTCAAAGAGATGAATTAATTACCTGACTTCAGGTCCAGACTCTCACTTTCATCCCCTCGTGTCCCAGCCCTCGTTACTCACCTAGTTGTGCTTGCGGGGGGTTGAGCTCTGGCTCTTTGGTCCCGCCTCTCAACTGTCAATTTGTGTACAGGTCTCACCCCTCACCGTAACTCTCTGCTTCATATTGCTTAGATACTCCCTTATCCACTGGAGCACCTTACCAGCTACACCTGCCTGTCTCTCCAGCTTATGTACCAGCCTCTTATGAGGTACTGTGTCAAAGGCTTTCCGACAATCCAAGAAAATGCAGTCCGCCCAGCCCTCTCTTTCTTGCTTAATCTTTGTCACCTGGTCATAGAATTCTATTAAGCCTGTAAGGCGAGATTTACCCTCCCTGAACCCATGTTGATGGGTTGTCACGAAGTCCCTTCTCTCCAGATGTGTTACCAGGTTTTTTCTCACGATCTTCTCCATCACCTTGCATGGTATACAAGTCAAGGACACTGGCCTGTAGTTCAGTGCCTCTTGTCTGTCGCCCTTTTTGTATATTGGGACCACATTCGCCGTCTTCCATATTTCTGGTAGGTCTCCCGTCTCCAGTGACTTACTATACACTATGGAGAGTGGCAGGCAAAGTGCTCCTGGTGTCCCAGGCCTCGTGTCCCAGCCCTCATGTCCCAGCCCTCATGTCCCAGCTGGCAGACTGACTGGTAGCCTTCATGACAGGCTTGCAGGCAGGTGTGGGCCCGACAGGAAGCAGCCACCATAAAATAAGATGTCGATTAATGATGCTAAAATTCACTATATTGTTACTACCAAGTGAGGCCAAAATATATATATATATATATATATATATATATATATATATATATATATATATATATATATATATATATATATAATATATATATATATATATATATATATATATATATATATATATATATATATATATATATATATATATATATATATATATATATATATATATATATATATATATATATATATATATATATATATATATATATATATATATAATATATATATATATATATATATATATATATATATATATATATATATATATATATATATATATATATATATATATATAATTTCGGTTGATTGAGAGGCGGGACTCAACAGCTATAGTTCAACTCTAAGTAGCAGAAATCTTGATTTAGATCACATCTATATTTATTTAGAAGCATGAAGTTTCAGCTCTTGAACCCTGCTTTAAATCTGCGGGTCATGGAATAGTGATTTTCGAATGCTATATGATCTCGGGCTCACCATAGACCGTGCTACTTGGAACTTTTTGTTCCAAGTAGCGAATTTTAAAACGGCATGTTATATGATTTTATCGTATCTAATGCTGCTAAGGAAGTTAGAAGGGGAGTTAGTTTCAACTAACTTCCTTTCTAACTCTTTACTTTTGGTCATAAAGATGGCG